GCGGTCGCTCTGAGGTCCCCGCGCGTCCGGCGTGTGCCGCGCGTCGCGCTGGCGACATTCTTCGAGGAGCGCGTACGAGATCTTCGCCTCCTGGCTGTCGACGCCGTAGCGCGCCTCGGACTCGCGCGCGGCGCTGACGAGCGCCGCGTCGCAGGCCGCGAGGTCGATGGAGATCTTCCGGTTGTCGGGCGACGCCACGGCCGCGAGGGCGCGCCACCGGTCCGCGTCGTTCGACGTGAGCCGCGGCGGCGCGAGGGACGTCGTCGACGCCAAGACCATGGTCATGCCCGTCCCGAAGCGCATCCTGACGAAGCGGATTACTCTTGACGGCAAACCGCGCGGGCGAATGTGGCGCGTCACAGCGTTGTTTGGCGCGCGCTGATTGGCGGAGGCCGTGATCTACACACATGAGCCTCCATCGCCGACGGGCCCCTGCACGACGGTCCGGCCCCGGGACGGGGGCCGGGGACGGCGGGCACGGGGGTTCCGGCACGGTAAATGCGCTCCGGGCACGCGGCCCGGCACGGGCCCGGCACGCGGCACGGCACTCGGCACGGGCCCCCGGGCACGGGCCGGGCACGGGCCACGCGGCCCGGCACGGGCCCGGCACTCGGCACGGGCCCCGGGCACGGGCCGGGCACGGGCCGGGGAGGCCCGGCACGGGCCCGGCACGGGGCCCCGGGCACGGCCCGGGCACGGGCCGGGGACGTGGCCGGGGACCGCGGCACGCACCGTCGCGCAGGGCCCCCTTCGCCGCCGCGCCGCCACGGATCGCTGCGCTCGCGCCGACGCTCGCACCGCGCGTGATCGACGAGGATGGTGGCTCGGCTGTCCTCGCTGCTCTTCGCGACGCCATCCTCGCACAGTTCGGTGCCGCCAGGACCCCTGTCGACCCCTGGCGTACAATTTGCCACAGCGGCGGGGTCGGACGTAACGGCTTACCTAACATGTTACTTACGACTTACATTCGGCCAAAACGACTTACCTGACGGGTTACTTTCGGACTCCACGACTTACCCGGCGGCCTACCTCGGCCCGAGGCCGCGCGGGGCGGGCGCCGCTTTCGCGGAGCGCGCGCGCGGCGGGGCAATCCGACGGCGTCGGCGCCGTGGATGTCCAGAAGGCCAACGACGAGAGTGGCAAGATCCTCCACTCGTGCGCCACGCGCTGGCTCGGGCGCAGCGACGCGCTGGCGAGCGTCGTCAAGTCCCTCGTAGCCCGCGGGTTTTGGCGAGTGCCCAGTCATCCGTCCGTTTTGGCGAGCTCAACGACTTACCCCGGGGCCCGACGACTTACCCTACGACTTACAATCGGCGCCAACGACTTAAAAACGGGTTACTTTTTTCGTTACGTCCGACCCCGCACAGCGGACCTCCAAGAGCCAAGGTACTGGTCTCTAATAGGCTTAGGCTAAGAGGCGCCCCCTCTCAAAACCCCCCACCCTTTTTGCGCCGAGCTCCCAGAGGCGGCGGCGGCGGCGAACTCGTCGTCGGCGAGCTCGAGCATCATGAAAAACGTGCGGAAGCCGACCAGCGGCTCGCAATCGGCGAACTAGTCGTCGATCTCCGGGCTTGAGAAGGTCGTCAAAGAGCGTCGTTCCGCGAACTGGTAGGCGAGGCCGTGGGCGCGGCGACGACGTCCGTGTAGCGGTCGGGGACCTCCGCGACGATGGTGTTCGTCGTCGAGACGGTCGAGCTCGTCGCGTGCGCGCCGACGGCGAGCGCGCTCGTCGCGCCGAGACGGTCGGCCGAGCGCGCAGCGTCGACGGCGTCCGCCGCGCGCGTTTCAGGGCTCCCGCGAGCAGCCGACGCGTTCAGCGCCCGCGTAGGGTCTGTCGGCGCCTAGGAGAGCGGCTCCGTGCCGCCGGAGCGGCTCGCGCGGACCGGGTCCGCCGAGGTTGACGCTCGGAACACGTTCCGGCCCGAGGCCGTGCCCGTACGCCGACGCCGTCGTCACACTCGACGCAGCGCCCAACGTAGGGGCGGGGGGTGCCGGGGCGCCCGGCGACGGGGTCGCAGGCGCCCGAGAGGGCCAGGGGTCGCGGCCAGCGACGCACGCACGACCCGTTCACGGCTTCGGCGTCCGCTTCAAGCCGGCTGACCAAAAACCCCCCCACAAAAAAGGGGGGGGGGTAAGACGTTTTTAGCGGGCGGCAAATGACGCCGCAAAGTCCGGGACACGACACCGTGTCGATAAAAATTGGCAGGCGCCAGACGCGCTGTCAACGCAACCAAACCGCCCAGCTGTGCGCGACCCATCAGCAGCCCTAGCATCTCTGCAACCCTACGCAGCCCTCCGCGCCGTCGCCGACGCGCCCCGCGACGCAGGAAAGCGCGCGACAAGCTACCCACAAACTCGAGCCATGTCGGAGCAGGTCAAGCGCGCGAACCGGCGCCAGTCGCTCAACGCCATGCTGCGCGTCGAGGGCTTCGACGTCGTCGTCGTCTGCACGGGCACGGAGCACCAGGCGAGCTTCTGGCAGGCGCGGCTCGAGCGCGGCGGGAGCACGATCGTGCCCAAGGGCGCGACGGTGCTCTGCGTGCACGAGGACTGGAACGGCGGCGCGGGCAACGGCCTGGGCACGCTCTACGCCTGGCGCAAGGCCTGCGCCCTCGCGAAAGCCAAGGGCCGGGGCGACCTCGCCGCGGAGCTCGCGGCCGGAACCGTCGCGGCGGCGGTCTACCACACGGCGGGCAAGGGCACGCGGCTCGCGCCGCTGCCCGGCGCGGAGAACAACAACAAGCCCGGCGTCAAGCTGCCCGTCGTCGCGCCCCTCGGCGCGTCGGGCGCCGCCGTGCCCCTGACGATTTTAGAGTCCGTCGTCAAGCAGACGGGCGTCTACGCGGCGTCGCGCAAGGGCCGGCTCTCCGTCTTCTGGGGCGACCAGATCTTCATCCCGACGCTGCCGGCGACCTACGACGCGCCCCGCGCCCACGCCGACATCCTCTGCATGCTCGCGCCCATGCCCGACGCGAAAACGTGGAAGGACCGGGGTTTGGAGAAGTACGGGCTCGTCGCGGTCGGCAAGAGCGGCGCTGCGTGCCAGATCGAGAAGGTGGACCACGGCACGGCCGTGGCCATGACCGAGAGCCTCGGGGGCATTTCTGACGTCGGGACTTCCCTGGGGTCCTTCTCCGTGACCGCCGCGCTCCTGGAAGCGCTGACGGCGGAATTCGCGAAGGAGCTCGACGCGAAGCGCGGCTGCTTCGACAGCGACCCCCACTGGTGGATGCCCATGACGCTGCCCCTCGACGCCTACGTGGCTTTGATGGCCAAGAAGGGCATCGACGCCGTCGCGTCGACGGCGCACCACGGCCGCGTCCGGGCCATGCTCCAGCGCTTCGACGACGGCGGCAAGCACCTGCTCGGGCCCGTGTGGAAATCAAATCTTCAACCCGACTTCAATGTGAGCGTAATTGAACGGATTGCGCCGGATCTTCGGCTGTGCTTCGAGAACTCGACGAGAGCAATCGATTCGTCCAAAAATCAGCCGAATCGACTTCGATTTGATTGAGATAGAGAGTTCTGAAGTTTGGTGGGGACCCCCCAAACCAGTGGTTGATTTCCACACAGGCTCGGGCCCGTCGACGTCGGCGGCGACGCGTACTGGTGGGACTACGGCCAGCTCAAGCTCTACCTGCGGAACGCGCTGCGCCTCGTCGAGGACGGCGTCGAGGCCGGCGCCATGCGCGAGTTCCTCAACGCGCCGCGGCCGTGCGGCGCGCCCGACGGCTCGGCGCTCGTCGTCGACGACAAGAGTTGCCTCAGCGACGTCCGCGTCGCCGCGGGCACGTGCCACAAGTCCGTGGCGGCGGCCGTGACGGCGGGCACCGTCGAGCTCGACGGCGCCGTGCTCGTCAACGTCACGGCCGCGTCCGTCGTCGCCGCGCCGGGCGCGGTCGCCTACAACGTCGTCGAGGACGGGCCGTTGGTGCTCGAGGCGGGGGAGGTCGTCACGGACGTCTTCATGGAGGACGGCACGAAGCACCGCCAGCGGTCCACGACGGCCGTCGACGGCGGCAAGGCCTGGAAGGAGGCCGTCGAGGGCAACAAGTTCTCCTTCGAGCAGGTCTACAAGATGAACCTCGCGACGGACGTGTCCAAGACCGCGGACCTCGCCGCCGCGGCCCACGCGGACCTCGCCGCCGTCCTCCTCGCGAAGAACCTCGCCGTGCAGTAGGCCACAGACGCCTTAAAGCAAGCCCCCTCTAGCGCCTCCGAGCGGCGGAAGGCGCGCGAGGCGCGGGCTACGCAAGCAAGGCGAGCTCGAGGGACGCGAGTCCCAGGAAGGGCAGCGAGAAACGGTAAGGGAGGGAAGCCAAGATGAGGCAGAGTTTCAACGCGGCGAAGATGAGTAGGAGGGTGAGTATCATGCAGACTATGAGGGCCAGGATTCTGACGACGAACCCGGGCCGCGGACCCAGGCGCGGGCCCGGCCCGCCGTCAAGTCCGCGCTCCGCGTTTTCGATCATGATGTGGCGATCATTCTCCGCGGCCTCCAGATAGTCGGGGTATTTGTGCAACCGACGCGCCTTGTGGCGTTGAAAGAACGCGGACCACTCTTCGTCGGTGCACTCGCGACCCGCCTCCCATACGAAATTATTTTTCCACTCGACACACTCCTCGATGAATTCGCGCTGACCACTGCGCTCCAGCTTCCAGCTCCAGTACTTTAACGATACGTTTGCGTGCGCCCATCTCGTGCGCATGATCATTGTTCGTAGTGCGAGAACGACTCGGCGCTTGGTCAAGAACTCGACGCTCGAACGAAGGAGGCCGACGTACGCGTGGCCCCAGTGCATGTGCGATATCGTTTTCGCGCGGCGGCGCGACATGTTGGCGCGAGAATGCGACGGTCGCAGACAAGACCTTCAAGCAAAGAAACTGTCAAAATCGACGGCCGACCGACGAAATGGTCTCGATTGGATGCCTCAACAAGATGGCGTCGGGTGGCGGGCGACGCGGCGCGAAACGTGTGACGCAGCAAGAGACCCACAGTCTCGACGCGCGACTTGAGGATGCCGAAGCCGAGCTGTCGTCGTGAAAACAGTCGATCTCGTCGACTCTGGTGTTGTACGATGGTCCGGCGACGTCGTCCGGACGCGTCGGCGGCGGCGCCGACGAGCCCAACAACTACAAACACACAAAACCCCGGCACGACCCAACGCCCGACTTAAAACCGCGATCGCTCGCGTTCGGCGTCACTTGGGCAGCCCGCGGTATTCCGCGCGGGGGCTCGCGGTGACGACGCTCGACTCGTCGGACGCGCAGCTGTCCGCGCGGCTCCGGCCCTTCTGCACGGCCGCGGCCTTCTCCACGGCGGCGTCGAGCGCCGCGGCCTCCTCGTCGAGCTCGTCGCCCGAGCCCTGCGCGAGCCGGTGGCGGAGGACGACGTTGAGGCGCCCGGAGATGAGCGCGCGGCGGTCGTGGTCGAACTCGTGCTTCCGAAAGTCCGCGGCGTAGTTGGGCAGGTAGCGGCAGACGAGCTGGGATCGGCGCGAGCAGTAGCGGCCGAGCTCGTCGAGGCAGCCGTTGTACTCGGCCTCGACGACCGCGAGCGTGTGCACGGGCGCGCGGCGGTCCTCGGACGTGAGCCCGAGCACGAAGGACCGCGCCGACGTCTTCGCGTCCAAAGCGTCGAGAAAGTCGCGGTGCGGGCCCGGCATGGTGCGCCGCGCGGCGTCGCGCGTCGCCTGGAGGTCCGAGCCCGGCGGCGCGCGCGGCGCGCCTAAAAACTTCCAGCAGGCCGGCAGCAGCGCCGAGTCGCCCGTGTAGAGAAAGGCCGCGAGGTCCGCGTCCGTGCCGCCGGCGGGGAAGAGGAAGTGGCGCAGGCGCCGCATGACGACGCGCTCGCCGCGGCCCGCGGGGCCCGGCCGGAAGACGTGCGCCTCCGACGCGGCGCGTAAAGCCGCCCGCAGGTCGCCCAGCGCCGCCCCGAGGCCGTCGGCGGCCCGCAACCGCATGGCCTCGCGGCCCCGCAGGATGGCGGCGACGATCCTCGGCGACGTGCGCTCGACGCTGAGGAGCAATTTCCAGAACGCGTCCTCCTCGGACACGGCCAAAAACCGCGCGACGAGGGACGGTGCGCCGCCCCGCGTGCCCTCGGCCCAGTGGCCCGCGGCCGACTCGTCGGTCCAGTTGTAGAGCACGCAGTCCGCGTAGCACATCTTCTTCCGGGGCCGGCCGAGCCGCTCGGACACGTGGCCGAGCGCCGCGTAGACGTCCGCGGGCAGGCGCCGGTCGCCGAGCGTGCCCGGCCGCGGCGACGCCGCCGCGCCGTCGCAGCGCGCGTAGGCCGCGGCCACGAAGGCCAGCAGCGACCGCAGCCGCTCCGCGTCGACGAGGCGGAGGCCCGCGACGTAGTTCCGGTCGATGGCCGCGAACTTGGGCGCGTCCGCGTCGACGAGCGACCGGAACGTGCCCCGCGTCGCGCAGGCGAAGGGCACGGCCTTGGCGAGGCGGCTCACGCAGAGGAACAGGGGCTCGCGCGACGTCCGCCAGTCCGCGGGCGGGCTCCGGGGCAGAAACCCGTGGTCGCCGTCGACGGCCCAGAGCGCCGCGGACTCGTCCGTCGGCGCGGCCGCGCCCGCGAAGGGGCAGGGGCCCCGGGCGGCCCCGCCGCCCCGCGCGAGGAAGGGGCAGCCCGTCGAGAGCAGGGACCGCCGCGCGGGCGCGGCCGACTCCGACCCGCCGACCTTGGCCGCCTCCGTGTCGTGGATGTGCTCGTGGAGGTATTCGAAGGCCGACGTGCCGCCCGTGCCCGCGGCGTTGTGGTTGCCCGACGGCTCGAGCACGTACTTCTTGACCATCTGGAGGTGGCGCCACCGGAAGTCGAGCACGAGGTCGACGCACCGGTTGTAGCGCGCGACGAGCTCGCGCTTCGCGCCCTCCGACGCGTCGTCGGCGGGGTCGCCCGTGCGCGTGTCGCCGTCGCGGGCCTCGAGCACGAAGGTGCGGGCCGTGCGGTCCGACTGGACGCTCCGGAGGAACCGGCGGTGCGCCTCGGGCATCGACCGCGCGAAGTCGTCCAGCAGCTTCTGCAGCGTCGCGTTCGAGTTCGACACGCCCAGGAACGCGTCGAGCACGGGCAGCAGCGTCGACATGGCGCCGGAAGGGCCCGGCAGCGTCACGGCCTCGTTGGAGAACTCGCCGTCGAAGACGACGGCGTCGAAGCCCGAGATGAACGGCCTCAGCCGCTCGTAGAAGAAGTAGTAGTCGCAGAGCGCGCCGTGCGTGCCCAGGCGCTCGAACATGAGCGGCAGGCAGTCGCGGACGACGTGGCCGAAGCAGGCCTCGACGCGCACGAGCGCCTCCGTCAGCCGCGCGACGGAGCTCCGCGTCACCGCGCCCGCGCACGCGCGGCGCCCGCTCGCGACGGCGCGCACGGCGGGCCCCGCCGCGGCCTCGATGACCAGGTGGGTCTTGAAGAACCACTCCTCGTCGACGAGGCCCGTGAAGCGCCGCAGCATGCGCGCGTTCTCCGTCGAGATGGGCCCCGACGCGTCGACGAGCTCCCAGTTGTAGAGCACGCAGCCGCAGTAGTCGAGCATGGGCCGCCGCCCCAGGCGCCGCGCGCACTCGCAGAAGCCCCGCGCGAGCATGGCCGGCACGACGGGCACGCCCGGCGTCGACGCGACGGGGCCGGGCCCGTCCGATCCGCCGTGGCTCGCGACGGCGTCGACGCGACAGAACGCGCAGCAGACGTAGCTATAGAGCGCGTGGGCGCACTCGAGCTCGTCCTCGTCGTAGGGCATGTCCTTGAGCCACGCCGCCGCGACCCACAAATCGTCGCCGTAGGTCGCGACGAGCGGACGCATGCTGCCCTCGACGCACGCGCACGGGATCTGCAGGCTCAGCTCGTGGAGCGGCACGAGGCTCGCGGACCTCGGGACGGCGCGCGGCGCCCGCGCGGGCAGGAAGCCCCGCGACCCCACGTCCCAGAGCGACCCCCGCGCGCTGTCCTTGTCGAGGTAGGAGCTCGACGCGTGGCGCCGCAGCGGCGGCCGCGGCGGCGACGGCGGCGACGCGAGGAGGGCCCGCGCGCGCCGCTTGAGCTTCGACGGCGCGCAGGCCCATGCGACGGCAACCACCACGAGCAGCAGCGCTACGCCGACGGCGATCATGGCAGCAGCCATCGATCAGAGAAGGCGACAGAAGTCGAACATCATTGCTTGGCCGGCTCGGCGTGTGTGTGCTCGCCTTCAAGTGCCGCAAGGTCGACCTCGCGCGGAGCTGCGGACGATGAGCTCGAGCAGCCGGGCAGCTTGAGATGGCACCTAAGCGCAAAGCCGGGGTGGAGAGGTGCGGTGTATGTGGAATCAACATTACCATCCCGCGGAAGTGGCGCAAGGCTGGCGAGAGCTGGCACCATTTCGTGTGCGGCGAATGCCAAGATAATGATTGTAAACTCGGTGTTCTGGTTGGTTATGCCCATAGGGTAGACCTCGTGGGTGATGATATTTGCCCGAAACGATGTCCTCATCACGACGGTGAGCATCCCTATTGTTCAATCTGTGTCTACCAGCGCACGCTGATGCCGACGGAAGAGCGCTACAAGACGAAAGACGCAGCGCTAGATGCCTTGCGCTATGGTGGTCCGTGGGCTCTGAGGCACGCCTCTGAAGAGCTCCGCGCGGACCCGGAAGTTGTCCTCGCGGCTGCCGAAGAACACGTAGGCCGTCTGCTGGAAGAACTTCAGGAAGATTGCTCAAATGATGCTGCCACTGATGCTGATGATCGGAGTTATGCAAAATATAGACGGCTCCAAAGAACTGTGCACGAATTCGTTAACGACGGGACATTTTCCGACCTCATGCGAGCGCAAGACAGAGTCGTCACGCTCCGCGCCGAGAACGAGCGCCTCCGATCCGAGCAGACGGTCGAGGTCTTCGACGTCGACGCGGACGTCGTGACGCGGGAGCAGAAGCGGCAGCGCACGGAGGAGCCACCGTCGAGCGCCCTCAAGGCCGTGGCGGACATCGCGGACGAGTTCTCCGCGAAGAACGTCGCCGTCAAGCATGAGCGCGACGCGGCGACGCAGCGCGCGAACGCGGCGGAGGACCGCCTCGAGTGCTGCGTGTGCCAAGACGCGGCGCATCAGGTCATGCTCGGCCCCTGCCGGCACCTGTGCTGCTGCGCGACGTGTGCGCCGGCATTGGCCGAGTGCCCCATCTGCCGGACGCCGGTCGAGAGTCGCACGACGGTGTTTTTCTAAGCTCTTTACGGCATGTTTCCGCCAACTTGAGCCTAACTTGCAGCCGTATTGCATCGATCGAAGTCGCAATGCACTCCGCGTAGTTTGTCTCGACGCCGCCAGCACATCCATGGACTCGTGAGAGCTCCTCGCAACCCTGCCAACACCACAATGCCAAGCGATGAAGACGCGGCCGTGCTGCAGCTGCGCGCGGAGATGGAGGCGCTGCGCCTCAAGCTCGCGGCCGCGGAAGCGAACGCCGCCGCGGCGCGCGAGTCGCGCCACGACACGTCGCAGGGCGCCTACCTCGACGACGCCGCCTGCGCGCGCAGCGAGGCGGAGCACATCTTCCACGCGATGCGCCTCGACCCGTCGGCGCGCGTCGACTACTGGCGCGGCGTGCAGGCCGCCGGCCGCGACGGCCGCGCGAAGGCCAACTGGTGCGACGGCTGGCTCGCCGCGGCGTCCGAGGAGCGCGCGGCGGAGATCGTCGGCGCGCACGCCGGCGCGGCGCTGGCGGCGCGGGCGCGCGGCGACGCGGCGGCAGCCGTCGACCACCGCCGCGCGTTCCAAAGGGCCGTCGACGACGCCGACGGCGCGCTGCCCGCGACGAGGGAGCGCTGGGCGGCCTTCGCGAAGGAGGAACTCGCGGTCGCGCTCTGGGAGGCCGGGGCGACGGACGACGCGCTGGCGCTCGCCGAGGGCTACGAGAAATACGCCATTCTCTCGGAGCTCGTCGCCGCGGACGCGTCGCTCCACGAGGCGCGGGTCGCGAGCCTCCGCGAGGCCCGCCGCTCCCCCGAGGAGCCCGCGCTCCCCTTCGCGCGCGCGCCGCGCGACGAAATCCCGGACTGGCGGAGCCCCCGGCACTTTGCGCGCGTGCTCGCCGAGGCCGCCGTCGCCTTGCACGACGCGACCAAGGTCGACGAGGCCGTCGCGACCCTGACGCTCGGCGGCGGCGGCGACGCCGCCATCGCGGCGCTGCGGCGCGTGCGCGAGGACGTCGCTGCCGGCGCGCCCGACATCGACCTCGCGGAGCTCGTCGCGGCGCTCGCGGCTCCGGCGGCCCGCGCGGCCCTCGCGCCGCCCATCGTCGACGACGACGACGAGGACGCGCCGCCCCCGAGCCGCCCGCCGCCCCCGCCGCCACCTCCTTAGACGTGGCAGCTCGCTTCGAGGGTCCGCCTCCGGAACAGGAACGTGAGGTTGATGCGGTTGTTGCGGAAGCCGGGCCGGAAGTCCATGGCGTCCGTCTGGTGGAACCGGTGGCCGTTGAGGATGACCGCGCGGTTGAAGCGGTGGGCGACGACCTCGACGGCGTCGTCGCCGAGGAGCGCGAGGATGGCGTCCGTCTCCTGGTTCGCCTTGGCGAAGTCCCAGTCCGCCGGCGGCTCGCGCTCGAAGATGCGGAGGCCGCCGAGCTTGGAGCCCCGGGCGAGGTTCGAGGCGTCGCGCGCGATCCAGACGTTGACGGACACGTCCGCGTCGTCGCTGTGGACGTCGATGCCGCGGCTGTGGGCGTCGCGCGGGTAGACGTAGGCCCAGGCCTGCGTGAGCTGGGCGTCGCCGAGCAGCGCGGGGAACCGCGCGCGGAGGTCGGACGCGACCTGATGCACGACCGCCGCCGCGCCGAAGCCGTCGCCGAGGAACGCGCCGAGGTAGCCCTGGGCGTAGGCCCGCGTGAAGACCGTGGACCCGAGGACGAACCGTCGCAGCCGTTCCAGCGTCTCGGCCCGGAGCAGGCCGTCGACGACGGCGACGCCCCGGTCGAGGAACGCCGCCTCCGCCGTCGCCGCGGCCTCGCCCGACAGCGCGAGCGCGCCGCCGGCCACCGCCGGCGCGTCGACGACGCACACGGCCTTGCCGAGCACGGCGGCCCCCGCGGCCATCGTGCGCCGTTTCTGGTCGTCCGGCTCGCCCGCGAGGAGCCGCGACACCGGCGCGTGGATTTCGCCCGAGCGGTCGACGTACGCGTACGCGGCCTCGTCGCTCGCGTCGCCGTGCGCCGCGACGCGCAGGCGCCGCGCGGCGTCGCCGAGGAGCCGCAGCCCCGCGGCGGCGACGCGCAGGTCCACGGGGAGGGCGCAGGACGCGTTCGCCAAGCCCTCGTCGTCGAGGAACCGTAACTGCTCCGCCAGCCGGTCGACGAAGGTCGAGTGGACGTGGCCCAGGAGCACGGTCGACGACACCTCCTCGAGCGTCGGGCTCCAGGCGACGGGCGGCGCGATCATGACCGGCACGTCGACGGCGGCGCTGCCGAGGACGTGGTCCACGAAACCGGACGGGGGCCACTTCAATCGCGCGAAGGCCCGTCCGAAGGCGCCCGCGGCGTCGGCGTCGCCGACCTCGGAGGCCACCATCATGCCGAAGCGCGCCGCGACGACGCGCCGCGGCTCCAGGTCCAGCGCGAGCCGCGCCGCGGCCGCCGCGACGCGCCGCGCGCCGTCGGCCGCGGCGAGCGCCGCGGCTCGCCGCGCCTGCGGCAGGCCGCCCGCACCGGCCGCGCTCCGCCGGTCCGCGGCGCAGTAGCAGAAGCCGGCGACCTGCTCGGCGACGAAGGCCGGGTCGCCGCGCGCCGCGGCGAGGGACCGGAGCGCGTCCGCGACGACAGCCGCGGACGCGTCGGCCGCGCCCGGCTCCGACGCCGCGCAGGCGCCGACGGCGCGCGCCGCGAGGCCCGCGGCGCGGCCCGTCGCGTTCGCCTCGCCGCGCAGGGCGTCCATGGCGCCGGCGAGGACGTCGACGACGCAGGACGCGTCGCCGTCGCCGCAGTCCATGCCGCCGGCCGCCGGATAGCGCGCGCTCCAGGCCGCGGCGACGGCGCGCACGTCGTCGACGTCGTCGAAGCGCAGCGGCGCTGGGGTCCCATCCAGGGTCAGCTCGAGCACGTATGTGGATTGTATTGTGGCGACGAAGGCGAGGCGCAGCGCCCAAAACGGGCTGCCCATATTGCGGCTGCCCGCCGGCTGGTGTTTCCCTGCAATACCCATTCAATCCCGAGCGAAACAGTATGGGCGCTCTCTCGACGATGAGAAACGCTGCGATGCGCCCCTAGACCATGGTCTTCCGCTGGGACGAGACGAAGGCGCTCCGGCGCGCGGCGCGCGCCGGCGACGTGCACGAGCTGCGGCGCCTCGTCATCGATTGCCAGGTGGACGTCGAGGCGCGGAGCCGCGACGGCTACGGCGCGTTCCACGCCGGGGCCAAGTCGGGCGAGGTCCCGACCCTGCGGTGCCTCGTCGAGCTCGGCGGCGACGTCAACGGCGTCTCCAAGGACGGCTACGGCGCCGTCCACGTCGCCGCGCGCTACGGGAAAGTCCGCGCGCTCCGGTGCCTCGTCGAGGAGCTCGGCGCGTTCTACAACCTGAGGAACCGCGACGGCGACAGCGCGCTGCACACGGCGGCCAAGTACGGCGCCGTCGGCGCCGTGCGCTACCTGCTGGACCTCGGGGGCCTCGTGAGCCTGCGGAACGGCGCCGGCGCGGCCGCGCAGCACGTCGCCGCCGGCGCGGGCCAGACGCAGGTCCTCGAGTGCCTCGTCGCCGAGGGCCGCGGCGACGTCGACGCCGTCGACGGCGCGGGCGCGACGCCCTTCCACTGGGCCGCCTACTACGGGTCGAGGCCCGCGCTCCTGTGTCTGGCGCGACTCGGCGCGAACGTCCACGGGCGAAAAAAGGACGGCGCGACGGCCGCGCACGCGGCCGCGAGCCGCGGCGACGTCGCGACGCTGCGGTGCCTGGTGGACGACCTGCGGCTGGACGTCGACGCGCGCGACGACGCGGGCTGCGCCGCGGTACACTACGCGTGCCGGTCGGACCCGGAGCGGGAAACGGGCGATTCGAGCTCGCTTCAATATTCCGCGCGCGATCGTTCCGGAGAAAGGATCCACGCGTCGAGGGCGCTCCGAGAGATCATCGCCCGTGCAAAAATGAGCCGAAACGAGTGGAAAACGGCCGAGAGAGGAGCCTTGGGAAGTTCGCGCCCGCCCAGGTCCGACGCCGTCGCGTCCCTGCGGTGCCTCCACCGGGAGCTGCGAGCGGACTGCCGCGCCGCGGACGGCGCGGGCAACTTGGCGGTGCACGTCGCCGCGCGCTACGGGAGCCTGGAGACGCTCCAGTGCCTGCTGAACGACGCGAAGCTCGACGCGGATTCGCGGAACGCCGACGGCCAAGCGCCCGCGCACGCGGCCGCGGGCCACGGCCAGGTCCGGGCGCTCGCGCTTCTAGCGAACTACGGCGCCGACGTCGACGCGGGCGACGACGAGGGCACGCGGCCGCTCCACCTCGCGGCCGTCAACGGCGAGCAGGCCGCGGTCGAGTGCTTGGCGCGGGATCTCGGCGCCGACCCGGACGCGCGCGACGCGTCGGGGTCCACGGCGGCGCACTGGGCCGCGGATTTCGGGGAGGTCGATGCGCTGGAGACGCTGGAAAGCGTGGGCGCGGATCTCGTCGTGCTGGACGACGACGGGCGCTTACCGGTGGACGTCGCGAAGCGGTCCAAGGAGCCGAAGGCGTCGCGCGCCGCGGGGTGGCTGTCCGGCCGGCCGGCCGTGCGCCGGGCCATCGACGCCGTCAAGGCCGCGGAGCGCGCCGCGCAGCAGGAGCGGGCGCGCGACATCGCGGCGCGCGAGGCCGCGGCCGCGGAGGCGCGCGAGCGGCGGTTGCGGGAGAAGCGGGCCGCGGTCGCGCGGTCGCGGGACCCGCCCGCGGCGAGCCCGCCCCGGGGCAGCCCGCGGACGCCGCCGCCGCCGCGGACGCCGCCGCCGCCCGACGTGTCGCCGCCGCGGCGCAACGGCACGCGGACGCTGCGGTCGCTGCGCGAGAAGAAGGCGCGGCGGCGGCTCCCCGACGACGACGACGGCGCGGCCGGCGAGCTCGAGTCGACGTCGACCTGGGTCTCGCCCCGCGGCGCCTGGGAGCCCTTCGGCTTCGACGACGGCGACGACGCGCCGGCGCCGCCCGAGGTCGTCGCGACGCCGCCGCGCGCGCGCGCGCCGCCGCCGCCGCGGAGCCCGCCGCGGAGCCCGCCGACGTCCGCGCGGCCGCCGCCGGACGACGGCTTCTTCGCGCGGCCGCCGCCGGACGACGGCCCGCCGAACGGCTACGCGACGCCGCCGGAGGACGCGCGGAGAGCGCCGTCGGCCGGGTACGCGACGCCGCGCGCGCCGCCCCGGGCGCCCGCGTCGCCGCCGGAGGACCACCTGCGCATGTGCTTCGACGCCGCGGACGCGTCCGGCGACGGCTACGTGTCGCTCGTCGAGGCCGTGCGGGCCCTGCGCACGCACGAGGCCTTTGCGCGCGCGCTGGGCTTCGACGGGTCGACGCGCGTCCGCCAGGAGGACGGCACGCGGGACCGCCTCGTGCGCGCCTTCGGCGCCCTCGACGGCGACAACGACAAGCGGCTCTCCTTCGACGAGTTCCGGCGCGTCGTGGAGACCGTCGGCGACGACCGCGGGGACTCGGGCGCGTCGCCCGCGTCGACGCTCGCCGACTGCTCGCCGACGCTCGGGCCCGACGACGCGCCGGCGGCGCCGCCGGCGACGACGCCCGTGCCCCTCGAGGAGGGCAGCGTCTGCAGCGCCCTGAGCCAGTGGACCGGCCGGCCGTCGGCGCTCATCGCGCTCGCCGCGGAGCCCGAGGCGCCGCGCGCGCCGCCGCCGCCGGAGGTCCCGGAGGACGTGGGCCCGGAGGACGTCAGAGCGGCCACCCCGGAGAACGCCGACGCGGACATCGACGCCGGCGTCGACGCGCACGTCCGCGTCGTCGACGCGGCCGAGCTCTCCGCCGACGAGCTCGCGGCGTCCTACGGGAGCCCGCCGGCCGAGCGGCCGTCGCTGCCGCCGCTGGCGGCCGCGCCGTTCCTGCCGCCGATCACGCCGGACGAGGCGGCCTACGAGACGCCGCCGCCGTCGATCCGGCCGCGCCACGAGCGGTCCCCCACGAACCACGGCGTCGCGGCCTCGGAGCTCGCGACGGCGCCCGCGCTGTCGTTCACAGGGCAGGACAAGAGAGCGAAATTCCCAACTTCAAAGGCTCCGATCTCGGCCGTTTTCCACTCGTTTCGGCTGATTTTTGGACGAGCGATCATCTCTCGGAACGGTCTCGAAGCGTGGATGCTTTTTCCGGAACGCGCGCGCGCGGAAAACTCACGTTGAAGCGACGTTGAATCACCCTTGTCCTGCCCAGGTCGTTTACGCCCGGGTCGCCCGCGGACCACGGCCTCGCGGCCGTGACGCTCGCGGCGCACCACGCGCGGCGCCGGGGCGCGCGGCGCCTCTCGGACCGGCGGGGCTCCGCGCGCGCGGCGAGCCGCGACGACGCGTCCGTCGGCTCCGCCGGGTCCCTGTCGCTCTTCGTCGAGCGGCACGACGCGCCGCGCGCGCTCGCGGCGCCGCCCGGCGGGTCTCCCGGCGTCTGCGTGGACCTCGACATCGCTTTGGACGAGTCGGACGACGACCTGGGCTCGCCGCGGTCGCTCGCGGCGGCCACGCGCCGCGACGGCATCCGCGCGTGGCTCGCGTCGGAGCTCGGCGCGCTCGACGAGGACGCGGCCGCGGTCGCGTCCTTCCTGGTGTCCGAGGGCGCGGCGCGGGGCGAGGACCTCGCGGACCCGCGCCTCTACGACGACCGCGACGTCGCGGGGCTCGCGGCCCGGGGCCTGCGGTCGCTGCCCATGAAGAAGCTCTCGCTGCTGCGGCGCGCGGCGGCCGTGCGCCGCGCCGCGGAGGACCGCGCGGCGAGCCCCGAGCCGTCCACCAGGGGAGCCCTGCCGACGTCGAGCAAGACGCTCCGGAGCCGGGGGCCCGCGGACCCGCGCCTCGCGACGGCGCCCCTCGCGCAGAAGGAGAACGGCGCCGCGCCCAAGGCCGGCGACGAGTCCGCGCGGACCTTTCTGGAGGCGCAGATCGAGCGCAAGGTCGCGGAGATGGCCGCGCTCCAGGACCGCCACGCGGGCGAGGTCAAGGCGTTGAAGAAGGCCGTGAAGCAGGCGGAGCGGAGCGCGCAGGACGACCGGGAGCGCCTGGACTTCGAGGTCCGGTCGCGATCGCGCGACGTCGAGGCGGCGAGGCAGGCCGTCCTCGAGGCGCGCGACTGGGAGCGCGACGCGGACGCGGCGGCGCACGCGGCGGCGGCGGCGCGCGCCGAGGCCGCGGCGGCGAAGGACCGGGCGGACCTCGAGTCGAAGGACGCGGAGCTCGCCGCGGAGCGCGCGGCGCGCGACGCGGAGAAGCGGCAGCTCGAGGGCGAGCGCCGCCGCGTCGAGGCCGAGCTCGCGGCGCACGCCGCGGAGAAGCGCCAGCTCGAGGGCGAGCGCCGCCGCGTCGCGGCCGAGCTCGCGGCCGCGCGCGCCGCGCCGCGCGCGCCGACGAGCCCGGGCGGCTCGGGCGAGCCGTCCAGGGTCTGGGCCCTCGAGTTCGAGCTCGAGAAGCTCAACGGCCGCTGCCGGCGCGCCGAGGACGATCTCGACGAGACGCGGACGAAGCTCGAGGCGGCGGAGTCGACGCTGCACGACCGCGCGACGACGTGGGAGGCGACGGCGCGCGCGGCGCTCGGCGAGCTCCAGCGGTCGCACGAGGCCGTGAAGAGCACGCGCTACTGGTTCCAGGAGGACGCGACGACGTCCATCCTCGAGTCCGTCGCGAAGCGCGTCGGCGACGCGGAGCGGCCCAAGGACCACGCGCCGTGCGCGTCCTTCGAATTGGACCTCTCGGCGCGGTCCGGCGCGCCCTGCATCCACTGCGGCCACGACGAGCCGGACCACGTGCCCGAGCCGACGAACTCGGAGCTGAAGCGCGTGCCGTCGCTGGACGTGCCCGAGGACCTGCCGCCCGCGGCGCTGTTAAGGGCCGCGCGGCCGCCGCCGGCGTTCGCGAAGGCGCTCGCCTGGGGCCAGCACGCGGGCCACTACGACCACTTCGACAGCGACGACGAGGGCTGCGAACACCTCGTCCCGGGCGCCGCGGTGCCGCCGACCTTCGCCAAGGCCCTCGCGCACTACGACCACTACGACAGCGACGACGACGGCGGCACGACGGACGCGCTCGCGGGCTACGGCCTCTGCGGCGTGCTGCCCATCGCCGCCGCCGACGTGTAAAGCGGGCGCTCCGTCTCCTGCTTAGCGGCGCGCGTCGTCGCGCCTAGGCGTTGAACTTCATGAGGACGCCGTCGGAGCCGAGCGCGAAGCCCGTGTTCGGGCCGAAGAACTTGATCGCGTAGAGGTTGCCCGGGATCTTGTCGGCGGAGTCGTCGAACTTGAAGTTCTTGCCGCCGTCCTTGGAGACGTACATGGTGTTGCCGCCGCCGACGGCCCAGGCCTCCTTGGAGTCGCGCCAGGCCGCGTCGAGGATGCCGTAGCCGCCGGAGTTGAGGTTGATGACGTTGAAGGTCGGCTCCGCGTCGTCGACGGCGGACTTGCCGCCGAGGGCCATCTGGCCGCCGTTCAACGTCATCCAGACGCCCTTGGACGAGTCGCCCTCGACGAAGCCCATGGCCTGGATGCGGCGCGGCGTGCCGCGGTTGTGGGGCAGCCAGAAGTCCTGGCCCGGCGACCACGTGAGGTAGAAGTTGCCGCGGGAGCTCACGGCGAGGTAGGTGCCGTCCTTCTCGCGCTGGATCGTCGCCACGGAGCCCGTGAAGTAGGACGCGCCGGACACGCCGGACGACGACACGCGGTTGAGCGTCGCGTCGATGGTCTCCTTGACCTGGGCCTTCCAGTTGCGGCCCGCGTTCGTCGTCGAGTAGATGGCGCCCGTCGACGTCGTCATCTCGGCCTTGGACTTGCCCAGCGCGACGACGCCCGTGGGCTCGCCGGGCAGCTTGGGGCTCAGCGGGATCCGCTCCCACGACTTGCCCGCGTCCACCGTGTGGAGCAGGATCGGCGGCTTGCCGACGACCCAGCCCTCGCCGTCCTGGAAGCTCACCTTCTCGAAGCGGTAGCCCACCTCCTCCTCCTCGTCCAGGTTCGCGAACGTCCGCGGCTTCCAGTTCTTGCCGCCGTCGACCGTCTCGAGGAACGTGCCCTTGGCGCCGACGAGGTAGCCGTGCGTGTCCGTGTCGAAGGCGATGTCGAAGAGCGTCGTGGACACGGGCAACGACACGCGCTCCCAGTTCTTGATGGCGAGCGGCGCCGCCGAGCTCGCCGCGGGCAGGCCCGCGAGCGCCGCGGCGCCCGCGGCCGTCGCGGCCGTGCCCTGGATGAACTCGCGGCGCGCGGGCTCGGCGGAGACCTTGGCGGACGGGGTGCGCTGCGGCGCGAGGGCCGCGGCGCCGCCGATGAGCGCGAGCTTCAGGAGGCTCACCATGTCGCAGTCGTCGGAGGACCTCAAGCACTGCCGATCTCGTCAGCAGGTCGACTTAAGTCGACTCGACTCGAGCTCGAGGCCGCCGCCTGCGACGGATGGCTGCCGGAGTGGCTATATGCGTTGGACGTCGCCAGAAGTGCGACCGCGCCGCTGGGCACACCTAGCGCAGGGCATAGCCGGACGTGTCGGACACGCGCCCCTAGTCGGTCCGTCTCAGTGGCGAGGCGAAGCGAGCCAAACTTCACCATGGAGCTGCGAAAGTGTTGACACGGGCAGTGCCGCCGCCACCACCGGTGCTGTCCCTCGCGTCCTCTGCCGCGTCTGCCCGCAGAAATATCCGGCCGCGCGCTGCGGCCACCCCACCCTAACCATGGCCTCTTACGAACCGCGCTCCTCCTCCTCGCGACCGGCGCCAGTGCGCTTAGACCGACGCCCGCCAGAAAGACCTCCCGTTTAAACCTCCGCAGCACCAAAACGGACGAACGGGCGACTATCCCTATCGCCGACGCCAACGACCAGCTTCCCGAGCTCAAGGCCCCCGTCGAGGGCAAGCAGGTGCGCATGTTCGGCGCGAAGCTCGACGCGGGCCTCGCGGGCACGCGCGCGGTGAGCCGGAAGACGATTCAAGAGGTGCTCACGAAATACGCGGCGGGCAACTCCACGGAGGGCATGGCGAGCGCCGAGGACCAGTCGGAGATATTCTACGGCGCCGCCGTGGACGCCATGAATCGCGGCAACTACGACAAGAGCGTCAAGCTGCTGAACCGCGCGTGCTACTTCGCGGGCGTCACGTCGCGGCGCGGCGGCCAGATGCAGCTCTGGCTCGCCCAGGCGCTCTACGCCGCGCGGCGGCGCGGCGAGGCGCTGAAGCTGCTGACGGCGCTGAAGAGCCACCCGGACAGCGACGTGCGCAAGGTCGGCAAGGAGCTCGCGTTCATCCTCCAAGCGCCGGAGTTGAAATTAGAGGACTCGAGCCGCGTGTCCATCGACATGGACAACTTCAACGACGACGTCTCCTACGAGCGCGCGCCCGACGGCACGATCCGCCTCCGGAACAAGGTCAACAAGCTCGAGGAGCAGCCCGAGTACGGCTCCGTGGACTGGGTCCTCGCGCAGCCGCCGCCGCCGCCGGCGCAGGAGATGGACCCGGCGCCCCTGCTCATCGCCGTCGCCCTCTGCATCGGCGGCCTCGCCTTCTTCCGATGATGGGCGCGCGGCGCGCGCGACCGTAACGGCCCACTGTACACAGAAAGGACCTCCGAACCGCGCGAGCGCGCGACTCGCACGCCGCGGCGCGCGGATCACAAGGCGCCGCTTACGCACGCCCGCCCTACCAGGCTCGCCGCGTCGCGGACGCGCTCTGGGGCCGCGCCTTGCGCCGCTCGCGGAAGAACGCCTCCTCGCGCGCGCGCGCGCGCGTCGTCGTGTCGAACTGGTGCGGCGCGGACTTGAGGGGCACCTTCGGGTCGACGACCTGGAACTCGGCGAAGGTGTCGGCCGGCGGCCGGCGGCGGCCCGCGCCCGCGGACTTGGGCCGCTGCATCGGGTTGTCGTGGCCCCGGAAGTACGGCGACCAGTCCGGGATGCCCTGCTTGTCGTCCTTGGCCTTGCGGTCCGCGGCCTGGCGCGCCATGCCCCCGTCGAGCGCCTCCTTGCGCTCCGTCGGCGGGATGTAGCGCAGGCTCATGGGCACGAGGTGCGTCCCGCCGACGAGGTTCTTCCGCGACGACGTGTCGACGACGTCGTACTTGCGCTGGAAGTAGGGCGACCAGTCCGGGTGGCGGTCGCAGCCCTTGGCGGCCTTGCGCTCCCGCGACGTGCGCGCCTGGTACTCGCGCTCCTTCTTCGCCGCCTCGGCCAAAACCTCCGGCCGGGGCATGCCTCGGTTCTTCGGGTTGAGGTAGGGATCGACGATGCGGAACGTGTTGCTCATGGGGCCCATGGTCGACGCGGCGGGCGCGCGCCCCGCGCGCGCGCGTGGGGTTTCCGAAGCGCACCCGTGCGCGCACGCGGCGCGGCGAGGGGCAGCCCGCCCGTTGGGAACAGGGAAACAACACTTCACAAATCTTGGAGACAGCGCGGCCGCTATAACCGAGGCTGGGCAGCCTCGCGGGGCGGTACGATGCTGAACCTGACGGGCACGCTCAAGGCGCAGCCGCGGCGCGAGGCGCGCGTCGTCGTCGTCGGCGGCGGCGTCGCCGCCGGCGCCTTCGCCGCGGAGCTCGTGGCGCACGTCGGCGACGCGGCCCCCAGGGGCGGCAAGACGCTCTGCGTCGTTTTAAGCGGCTACCCCGAGGGCGTCGCGCCCTACGACCGGACCCTGCTCTCCAAGGAGGCGCTGGACCTCGAGCGGCTCACGAAGCACGGCGCCCGGGGCGACGCCTTCCCCTGGACGAAGGACGGCGCCGGAGAGCCCATGGGACCCGACTGGTTCCGCGACGCGCCGGGCGTCGAGGTCTGGCACGCCACGGTCTGCTGCGGCGTCCAGCTCGACTACCGGCGGTTGACGCTCATGGACCTGGCGACGAAGGCGACCTGCGAGCTCACGTACGAGAAATTGGTCGTCGCGACGGGATGCCGCGCTAGGCCGCTCGTCGAGGCGGCGGACTTCGCGCTCGAGGACACGTTCTGGGCGTCGCGCCACGCGGACCTGAAGCGCCGCCACGGCCACCACCACCACCACCACCACCACCACGAGAAGGACGCGCCCGCGGCGGCCGCGCCCGCGCCCGCGCCCGCGGGCGACGACGAGGCCGCCGCGCCGTCGCCGGCCGCGGACGACGAGTCGACCTACGTGACCGGCGACGCGTCGACCGTGCTATCGACGGGCGCGGAGGGCCCCGCGCCCGCCGCGTCGCTCCTCGACGAGGGGTCCGTGGACGTCGCGGGCGAGGCGGCGTCGCGCCCGACGACGGGCGACGGCAAGGTCGTCGTGCCGTGGCGCCTCGGCGTGTCCCATGCGACGGACGCCTACGGCTTCGGCAGCGTCCACAGCGTGCGCGACGTCGGGGACGTCGTCAAGGTCCTGGCGGCGCTGAACACGCACGAGGCTGTGTGGAATTCAACCACTGGTTTGGGTGGTCCTGACCAAACTTCACAATTCTCTAGCTCGATCACATCGAAGTCGATTCGGCTGATTTTTGGACGAATCGATCGCTCTCGTCGAGTTCTCGAAGCACAGCCGAAGAGCTTGCGTCGAAACTGTCGCATGTGTGCACATTGAAGTCGGGTTGAAGATTTGGTTTCCACACAGGCACGAGGAGGACGGCCAGGAGACGTGCCTCGACCCCGTCGTCGTCGTCGGCGGCGGCTTCCTGACGATGGAGCTCGCGGGGACCATCGCCAAGTACCGCGACGACAAGGTGCCCGTGACGGTCGTGCTGAGCCGGGACCGCATGCTGCCCGGCCTCTTCGGCGCGCCGAAGAAGGACGAGAACGAGCGCGCGGCCGGCGACGGCGCGGCCGACGACGTCGGCAAGCCCGAGGAGGCCGACGGCGTGCCCGGCGCGCGCGACGTCGCCGAGTTCTACGAGCGGCAGCTCGTGAAGATCGGCGTGCGCTTCGTCCGCGAGCACCGCTGCCTCCGCCTCTGGGCCGCGGACGAGGAGGGCGACTTCCCGACGATGGAGGGCCCGGCGATCTCGCTGCAGCGCACGCGGCCGCGCCACTTCGGCCCCGCGCAGCCCCAGTTCCGCGGGAGCCGGGGGGTCGTCGTCGAGGCGCGCCACGGCGGCGACCTCGCGTGGCTGCCCGCGCGCTTTGTGGTCTTGGCGCTCGGGTCCATCCCGAACTCCGAGGTCTTCGCGAAGAGCCTGGACCTCTCGGGGGACGGGGCGATCTTGGTGGACGCGACGTGCCGCGCGTCGCACGCGTCCGGCGACGTCTACGCCATCGGCGACGTCGCGACGGCGCCGCTCCCGCTGAGCCGCGAGAACGAGGTGCGCCTGCCGTTCGAGTCTTCCGCGAAGGCGATGGCGACCTTCGTCGCGGAGACGATCTGGGACGGCCACCTCAAGCACGCGCTCGGGGGCCACGCGCCGCCCGCCGAGGGCAACGTGTCCGCGAAGATCTACGACCCCGTGCCCCTCATCCGGTCGCGGTTTTTGGACCTCAGCTGGGAGTTCCACGGCCGGAACCTCGGCGACGTCGTGCCTTTAGGCCTGGAGTCGTACGCGTCGACGAAGGTCTTCGGCGCCTTCTGGGTCCTGGACAACCGCGTCGTCGGCTGCTTCCTCGAGGGGGGCACGCCGTCCCAGCGCGCGGCGCTGCCGGAGATCGCGCGCCTGCAGCCCCAGATCACGCGCGTGCAAAAGTTCCGCAAGCTGAGCCTCGACCAGTTCCTCGACGACCCGCGCTGCCTCGAGCCGCCGGAGCTCGCGCCGGGCGAGTTCCAGGCCGAGCTCGACGTCGAGTGCATCGTCGAGGCCTTCCAGCGCTACGACTTCTCCGGCGACGGCTTCGCGAAGACCGCGTCCATCGGCGAGCTCATGCGCGACCTCGGCGCGGACTGGGACGCGGAGGAGGAGGCCGAGGCGCTCCGCGCCCTCGACCCCTACGGCAACAACATGGTCAGCCTCGACGCCTTCACGCACTGGTGGGCCAACTAGGGCCCGCCGTGGGTGTAACCACGTTCGAAGGGTAACCAAGGGGAAACTCAGCCGTGTTGACTTTTGCGGCGGCGTGATGTGGTTGTCCTGCCATGGTCAACTGGCTGCCGCGCCGCTAGTCAACTGGCTGCCGCGCCGCTAGTCAACTAGCTGCCGCGCCGCTAGTCAACTGGCTGCCGCGCCGCTAGTCGACACAAGACCATGCGGTTCGTGCAGAGCTGCACCGCCGCCGCGGGTTGCTTGACGCTGGAGCCGCTGTCGCCCGTCGTCGGCGCGGAGGTGCAACACTTCGACCTCGTCGCAGCGCTCGACGCTGACGACCCCGCGGCGCTGGCGGCCCGGCTCCGCGCGGCGCTGGATGAGCACGGGCTGCTCCTGTTCCGCGACCAGCGCGACCTCACGCCCGAGCACCACGTTCGAACCGCGAGACTCTTCGGCGAGGTCTTCCCGCTCCCGCCGCGGTTCCAGCACGAGAGATCGCCGGCGCCGACCGAGATCCTGCGCATGTCCAACGACGCGGCCGAGGGCTTCGCGGGCGTCGGCGCGTCGGGCTGGCACATCGACGGCACGAGCTACGAGGCGCCGTTCCCGCTCGCGCTCATGCGCATCGTCCACGCGTTTCCCGAGCGATCCGGCCCGACGCTCTTTTTACCGATGGCGCCCCTCGCCGAGCGCGTGCGCCGGCGCGCGCCGGCCTGGGAGCGGCTCTGGGTGCGCAACGGCGCGGGCACGCACCCGCTCCTCTTCCGCGGACCGCGGGGCCAGGTCGGCGTGTGCCTCGGCAAGGCCAAGAGCTTCGCCTGGGACCTCGGCGGGCCCGGGGAGCGCGCGACGGACGCGGACGAGACCGCGGCGGTGCTCGCGGCGCTCGACGGCGACGTCGCCGCGGTCGCGGGCGACGGCGGCGTCTACCGCCACGAGTGGCGAACGGGGGACCTCGTCGTCGTCGACAACGTGGCCGTCGCGCACCTGGCGGCGCCGGAGACGCAGACGCCGCGCGACGTCGCGGGCCTCCGCGTCCTCGACCGCGTCGTCGTCGCCGGCGTACCGGGCCGCGACGCGCTCGCGCCGCTCGGCGGCGAGGCGCCGCGGCTCGTCGGATAAAATCCCCGTGTGTTTACAGATCGGGGTCCGGCTCCGCGGGCAGGTCGAATCCCGAGAGCGACGCCATCCCGCAGGCGGCGGCCCGGAGCTCGTCGCGCTCGCGCGCGCAGTCCGCGAGCGCCGCCTGGCTCGCCGCGAGCTGCCTCCGGCACTCGGCGAGCTCCGCCTGGCACGCGGCGAGCTGCGTCCGGAGCGCCGCGCCCTCGGCCGCGCCGACGGCGGCGGCGGGCGGCTCCGCGGGCGCGGCCGGCGGCTCCGCGGGCGGCGGCGCGGCGGCGGGCGGCGGCGCGGCGGGCGGCGCGGACCCGTCGCAGTGGGGGCACTTCCAGTCCGCGTAGTGCTGCCTGAGGAACTTGTCGCGGAACGCTTTCTCCGCCGGTCGCGTCGAGAACGGAATCCTCCGCAGCTTGAGGCACGACGTGTGGAATCGCCGCGGGCACGCCGCGCAAG